CAACGTGTAAACAATGCCCATACAACATTCTACTAGAACGTTTTAAGTCATGTCTATACGTTACAGCTCTACAATGTACAAAAAGCAAGTCAAAATGCCAGCGTTAGTGACACTCTCATATAATGTGTAAAGATCATTATACGAAAACCACTCATAGAGTGTTCCACAAGAATGTTCTAAAGTACATTTGTATGTTACAGTTCTATAAAGTATGAGAGCAAGTTAAATACTGTTACTCATAGCACTTTTGCATAACATAAAGAATGCACTATAGATGTGCCCTTAATATGTGTCACAAAACAGTATAGCTTCATGAAAATACACTGCTGGCCATTAAAATTGCAATAGAAAGAAAAGCAAATACAAAAAAGATATGTATTGTACATAAACAATATGGCATGAAGACAAAATGATTAAATTTATAAGCAGTTTGGGGGTTTACAGGGAAGGCGAAACAGCTGTCACTCCTGGCAGCTAAAATGCTCCATACCCGGTTAGGCATGAACTCGAACTGGGCTTGGATGACAGAAACGGGCAACTAATTCCATGCTACTTCAAGTTTATGCCACCCTTCATCAACCATCTTAGCTGAAGAGGGGTGGCGGGACAGTCTCTCAGCAACCCAGATGTTTTCAATGGGTGACAGATCTAAAGACCGTGCAGCCCAGGGCAGCAATCAAATACCCTGTGTATCGAGGAAGGTCAGAACCCGACGTGCAACATGTGGTCTTGCATTATCTTGTTGGAAGATGACGTTTGGCAGGCCTCAAAGATAAGGCACAACCACTAGACGTAAGATGTCAGAAATGTACCGATCTGCATTACAACTACCGTCGATCCGAACCAGAGATGTTATGTTACTACAAAGGGGAAGCCTCCAGCTCCCCCAGTCGACGATTCAACCATAAAGCTTTTAGAGGCTAGCCCGATAAAACAATCAGAGATATGCGTGTCATGTACCCAATGGCTGCCCAAACCATCACACCAGGTGCAGGGCCTCTAGGCCGATATCGAATGCAAAGAGGCGACATGCGGTCTCTTTGGAGCCTCCAGATACATATACGGTCATCAGAATGCTGCATGCAGAACTGGGACTCGTCTGAAAAGACGGCATTATGCCACCCCTGTTTCCAACACAGTCCTTCGCCGTCACTATACTGCATTGCCAAGGGAGCCGAAGTAATGATCGCCATGCTGATACTCCGTGCTGCTGCAAATGTCGATGCACTGTATGAGCTGATACTGAGCATATTGCAAACATGTCCATGTCCTGACTAATGGTCCGCGATATGGTTGTATGGTTTTGCTCGGCTGACCTCACAATATGTCTGTCTTCTTGGGCGTTAGTCATGGGAGGGCATCGAGAATCTGCATGCAGCTTAGCATGACTCTCGGCAAACCAATATTTCCCTATTCACATGACAATAATTGGATGTTGACCCGTGCGACAAGCGATATCATGGAATGATAATCCATACCCTTGACAGCAACGATTCTGCCTCCATTGAATTACAACACTTGTTAACATTTGACGTCTGAGACACGTCATTCACTTTTCTCCCCTAGGAGAGCGGATGACATGTCTAAGATGTCAAACCAAAAATTAAACTCTTGGGTACATTTGACGTCTGAGAGACGTCATTCACTTGTTTTCCCTAGGAGCGGATGACGTGTCTAAAATGTTATTTGAGGTTATGCACAATTCTGTTCATTTCATTGTAGCTTGTATCAGTCATAACAGAAGAGGCAATTACAGTATTTCGGTGAACATTACTTGCAATACACTGCCCCATTATGTCAAAAACAAGGAATATATTTTATGATAGTGATAGCGAAAGTGAAGCGAGAAATCTAAAGAAGAATTGTTTAGTGATCCTGAAATTGACAATTACAATGAAATACAAAGCGAAGGTGATGAAGACGATATTAAACTAGAAAATGATGACAATTGTAATATAATATCAAGGTCTGGAAGATGCACAAGACGTCTATTGAGCAGTGATAGTGAATCTTCTCGTGAACCACAAAATGATGACAACTGTAATATAAAACCAAGGTTTCGAAGACACACAAGACGTTAATCGAGCAGTGATAGTGAATTTTCTCATGAACCAGTATCAGAGGAATGGATTTGGAAAGAAGAAAATGTAGCCGATATAAAACTTTTTCTGAAATATCTGGAATTAATCCTTTGAGCCTGCGTAGACCAGGTGGTAATCCTACGCCTTTAGATGTTTTGAATGAAGATTATTGGGATACTATAGTAGAAAAGATGAATACATATGCCAGACAAGGGATAGAAAAAGAAGGTTGTGTAACCAAAAAAAAAAAAAAAAAGGTGGTTTCCTGCAAGTTCTGATGAAATGAAAGCTTATGTGTCTTGATGTCGCAAATGAAGAAGCCAAAAATGCATATGTATTGGTCAAAAAGTTATGCAATAAGTACTCCAATTTTGCCAGCACTATAGCACGCGATAGGTTTTTTGATATTTCAAGCTTTCTACATTTTACAGATAATGAAAATGAAAATAATGATGACAGAATAAGAAAGATTAGAAATATAGTGGATTACCTAAATAATAAATTTTGTTACCTTTATACTCCTGATAGTGAAGTAGCTATTGATGAATTGCAACCAAAAATTATATCCGTTCCACATGCAAATATTTTCTCAAATAAATCCGTACCCAAGGGGATTAACCCTTTGGCGCGCGGTGGTTTTCGAATTTTTTTCCCCTCTTCTTTCCGAAATTTTTGAGTGAAAATCAATTGATTACTGATCTTTTACTTCTAAATAACACAAAATGACTTTTTCGTTAAAAAAATAATATCACGTGCGTCAAAGGGTTAATAAGAATTTCTTCTTATTCCAGGCATAAGACGATATTCTGAGCAAACCCCGAGCATGCAAAGCGCTTTCCGAATGAGAAAGCAACTAAACAACTTTTCTTTTATACACTGTTTCAGATGTCGTTTCTCCCTTCTGAGTTGTGTAAATGAGCTGAAATATTAATTTCATTTGCATATCTAACATCTTCTTCCTTTCATGTGATTTTGACGTTCGTCAGATTATTCCTTCCCGGTGTTGCAATTTTAATGGCCAGCACTGTTTATCTTTTTATATATTCACATATGTCTTTTGTAAATACCTCTCAGGAACACTTTTTAACATCAATGCAAATTTTTTAACATACTATAAAATAAATATCTAGCAGTTATATTTATAGATCTGACATATTTAATCTTGTTTTAGATAGCATTTTGATGTAACAAAGATGCTTGTTTTCAATATTTCATAATATTATAATATCTCTTGTTCTTTGAAAGCATAAAAGGTATAAAATGTCTTAAGAGTTTACATGGATTATCACTATGTCTTGTAAAGCGCCACAGAGGCAGGAAAAGGGTCTAAAGGATCTTTATATTTAACTCAAATAAAAATTAACAGAAGCCACCCATCATGCTTACAGAAGCCAGCATTTAAGGCTTAAATCACAGATACTGAAATTGACTTAACTAAGTAAAAGTAAATTAACCTAACAGCTACACAATTACAGTTATACGCAAGTTGGCTCTCAGCTAAAGTCGGCGTGATAACAACTATGGCGAGAATAATGCAGTGCCGCAAAATACTACTTGAAAGAGAATCAAATTAATAACGTGGCTTTCAGCATGCAGAACATGCTCTGATTCTACACTCTAAAACCTTCCTTTAAATACTACCTACTTTCTGCCTCATTTGAATATCACATGAGCTAAAAATTTAAATTCTGGCAGGAGAATGGGAAATGAGGAGGACAGGAAAGCAAATTAACTGTTTAAAGAATTAAACTCGACCTTACAATGTAACCAAGGAGGAAACTGGAAAAGTGGGTTTTTCCCCCCCTCTTTTTCCACATACATGGAGAAATGGGATGATTAGCATCATTCCAGACTATAGTTCTTTTTTCAGAGGTTTTTGTTGGTTAATAAAATATTTGATTACTGTGTATTATGGTATATTATTTGTTCCATCCCTTTCAAAACAAAGGCATGCTTTAAAAAAATATTAGAGAAAGTAACATATCATAAAATGCAGTAAGGAAATATATTTTAAAATGTGCTTCTTTTTGAAATGTTTGAAGTATAAGGAAGTTCCTGAAATTAATCATACCCTCTCTGCATGTCCATGAAAAGATTCTTAAAACCACTATATGGAAAATTATAGCCATCATTTTCTTAGATTTTTTTTTTTTCTTTTTGATAGCACTGAGATGTGTAATAAAATAAAATGGTTTCTACTTCTAAATTCTTTCCCCATTATATTACAAAACATTAAAAAACATTCTTGTGGTATATCAAAATGATATTTTCCTTCACACTTGCACCACATAACATTCAATAACATAAAATCATAAATATACTCCATGCTTTAGAATTTATAATACAGTGTTAAGTTTTTTTTTTTTTTTTAATATATATATATTTGCCAAGTTATTTGTTTAAAAATAATACATGATGATATTATTGTTTAAAAATAATACATGATGATATCATTTTATTTGTGTTGGTACATATAGGATTATATTTTTATATTGGCTATATTATTTCTTTAAAAGTAATAAATGGCAATAACATTTGAAAAGTGAGGCAAATAAAAAAGTGAGGTTCCAGACTAATAGCAATTCTGGAGCTAATAAATAAATAAATAAATTTTGAAACGGATGGTAGTTAAGCTATCCTCTGTGCAAAAGATGTCTATTGCAACAAACATTTCTGTAATTAAATGTTGGTTCATCCAAGTAACCAGCATAATCCTCCACTAGCACTAACAATTTTTAAATAACATATGCTTTAAATATACTTTTTTCAGGAAATTAAATGCTATAACACAAAGACACAATAATTCCTTTGTGTATAATTTGCTTTCCTGAAAAGCAAATAAAAAATACTTTGATAAGAATATATACTGATATATGTTAACACAATTTTCTAATTAATTAATTTCAGTTTTATTTTCAGATGATGTTTTTCATGAAAATTAGCTTTCTGTTACTCTTAGCACACGTGGAATCTCTCTACAAAGAACAGCACAGACCATGTTCATTCAACGCTCTGTGTACTTGTTCAAATGGTGGCCCAGATTTAGGATCTGTTTGCTGTCATAATATACCATTTATGACTGTTCCGTCACAAATCAATAATTCAGCTATATATATAATGAGTCTAAAATTTAACAAATTGAGGTTTCTAGAAGGAAACAGTTTAAATGGCACAGGACTATGGAAACTTGAGATTAATCATAATCTTCTCACAGATTTGGCTCCAAATGCATTAACTGGACTTGAAAAAACTCTCTCCGTCCTTGACCTTGGATATAATGAATTGGTCAGAATTCCTAAAGAAGCTATCCAAAATTTAGAAAAGCTAAGCAATTTAAATTTGGCAGGAAATCGCATCAGCTCTGTACAAAACGACGACTTCCGTGGTGTGAGTAAGACTTTAAAAATACTAGACTTATCAGAAAATTCTCTCATGCATATTCAGAACGATGCATTCAGGAACATGGCTCTGTTAGAAGTCCTAAATTTGGCTTTCAATGCAATACTTTCTGTAGATGATATTACCTTTCAGTCAGGACTGAGTAACTTAAGACAAATAATTCTAATGGGAAATCAGCTGCAACAAATACCACTGACAACTCTATCTAATCTTAGAAGCATAAAAATCGTTAATTTAAATAAAAATCTCATTTCGTCAATATCCGAAGGTAGAGAAATACGAAATCGTATACATTTGGAAGAGCTTCATCTTGAATATAATCTTATAAAGGTGTTAAATCCAGAAAGTTTCAGACTCTTTAGCAGTATTAATCGTCTCTTCTTAAAAGGCAATCCGCTCACATTAATAAATAATACTTTCGTGACAACAAACATGACTGAGCTACATATGCCACATTGTGACATTTCAGAAATTTCTAGAAATGCTTTCTACAGTATCATGCATACTCTAAAAGTCATAGATCTAAGTTATAATAAACTGATGGAGTTTCCTTATCTACCCTTTACAAAATTAGTGGAATTGTCACTTGCTGGGAATGAAATAAAAGATATTCATCCAGATGATGTAAAATCTTTTGGTAATATACTTAAATATTTGGATTTGCAGGGTCCAAAAATGACTGGATTATCGCAAGAAATTATGAAACACCTTCCAAATTTGAGAGAACTTATGTTTAAAAAACAACAACCATATATAAATAGCCATAACCTAGCTAATGCTGGTCCTTCCATGGAAAAATTATATATAGTTAAAAGCTCCATAAAGACGATTGAAAGTGGGGCATTTCAAAAACTTGGTGGTCTAAAGCATCTTGACCTCTCATATAATGCTATCTCTAAAATTGGGAATACAACATTTAAAGACATAGGGCACTCTTTGGAGAAACTTATTTTGCACTGTGCTCTAAAGTTAACAATATATCCTTCTGTAGCACTGCATCACCTAATTAAACTGCAGTACATAGATGTAACAAGCAATAGCCTACAATACTTACCTCCTGGATCATTTTCTTCTTTTCAAAAATTAAAATTCTTAAATTTAAATCATAATGAGATACAGAATCTTGATTCAAACTTTATAAATGAAGTAAACAATCCAAATTTAGTTCACCTGAAAATAGCATTTAACAAAATTACCACATTAAATCCCTACACTTTCAGAGATCTCCACAGTTTAATTTACCTTCAACTGAATGATAATCTCATAAAAGGTATACGGAAAGCAGCATTTTTAAATTTAAATTCTTTAATAAACATTGAATTAGAAGGTAATTTAATTGAATATATTGAAAATGAAGCCTTCCAAAATTTACCAAACATTGAATATATTAATCTTTCTTACAATAAGTTACAATTTTTTAACCTAAAAGCTTTTGATCAGGTTGGAAGACTCTCAGCATTAAAAATTGAAGTAGATCATAATGAAATTCAAAACTTAACTGGCAATCGTTTTTCAAGCCATACATCAATCAACATAAAAAGCATTAATTATAGTTATAACAACATTTCATACTTAGATGGCAGCTATTTTGATCCAATCAGAATTTCAATAAACATTCTAGACTTGAGTTTTAATAAAATTAAAAATTTAACTATGTCAGCATTTGTGGAAATGACACATCTGCAGACTCTCACGATATCAAATAATGAAATTGAAACTATAGATGATGATGAATTCAAAGGCCTCAAATCTCTGCAGATACTAGATATTTCTAAGAACAAAATTCAATCATTTCCATCTTATTTGTTGGAAGAACAAAGAAATCTTCGGATATTATTTGCATCCGATAATAACATAAATCTTTTAAATGGGAATATTTTTTCAAATACTGCTCTTGAACAACTTGATTTATCCTTCAATAATCTAACTGAATTTCCTGAAGAAGCTTTACTAGAAATCAGAAGTACTTTGCAGTCGCTGGATTTAGCTGGTAATCATATAAAAGTTTTGAACTTCAGCAACATGGAATCATTGGTGAATTTAAAACATTTCAGTATTGCTCAAAATGACTTGCATTTTCTAAGTGCTGAGGAGAAGCTTCAACTACCCAAACTAGTAAGTATGATGTTTTTTTAACAGTAGAATAGAATAACTGAAATTTACAAGTTTAATAAAATTCTATTAAATAAAGATTTAGTTTAAATTTAACCATTGCTTTATGAACTAGAAATAGCATAACTCTGCTAAATTATGATTTATTTCCTAAAAATTTCCCAGTGCTAAATCTACAAAACAACACTGCTACATTGCGATATACAGCAAAAACAGGCTGAAGAATTTTAAATCTCTATCCAATTTCTCCCTTTTATAGGTTTTTTTTTTTTTTTCTTATACTAATGATTATAAAATAATCAAATTATGGGGTATATTCTTTTTTATATGTATAGCAAAAGCCAAATCTCTGACATTCAGCTAACCAGAATATTTTAGAAGCTAGAACCTCCCAAAAAAGTAAGCAAATGAGATTTTTAAAGGACATATAGGACACTGTTGCCAAACACTGCTGTTTAGAACCAACAATGGATAAGTGTGACATCAGAATACAAGCATAAGAATGGTTTCTTTGATTATGCAGAAGCATGTGAAGGCTATCTGCCCCTACAGGAAGGGATACTTTTAGCGAGGATATTCTAAGGAACTGGCTCCTGTCTCGAAAAGCCAGCTCAGTTTTTGATAAGCCGGTTTAGTTTTTGTAAAGAACGATGTAAGCTAATTGTTATTTATCTGTTTTTCCCACATTTTCAAAAATGATTATTATGATTATTATTGTTATTATTATCATTACTTATGTTTTAGAATTTTGAATTTTACAATATTTCAATACAATTTCTCAATCTTGTTGACTAAAACTTGGTGCCTACCTCCTACAGAACAACATGCAGTGAAATATTTTCAATGCTACAGGATCCTGGCGTAAAAAATTTTCCCTTAATGGGCATGATACACGATTTTATTTGAAAATGGACAAACAACGGTGATGCAAGATGAAAAACAATGAGAAGCAATTTAAGTTTTTTTATATAGTGTATCTGTAACTTGTATTTGCGGATTATCTAACTAACTAAATAATAAATATCTTCCTTTAAACTACGGCAGGTGCAGTTAGGTGCAAGTTTGGTGGCATCTCTACCAGTTTTCATAGTTCCATGGGATTCCATAATTGGACACAGCGTTTTAAATTTCATATGTTTAAGGCCTACAAAATATGGCATCTTTTAGGTCTGAAATGTTTTTCTTTCCCCAAAATCTTATATAGTTTTAAATGTAAGCTTTTGATTTTTAAGTTGATTAAAAATAAGATGACTATTTTTATAGCTTTAGACTGAAATTTCTTTTTCCATTTATTTGAATTGTATTTTTCATATGCTCAACCATTCACAGTTTTCACTTATCCAGCACCTAACATTTGCCAAACCTTTTGTATAGTCGACCTGTCATAATAACATTACAATTTTCAGAACTTTTAGTATGAAAAAGAGTTTTCACAAAAGAAATGCACAGGCAGTTAAAGGAAAATTTTTTCCAATTCTCATATTTAATGCATTCTGAAATACAGATCATAATATTAGATCTTATAGAATTGTATTACACATGCAAACAACAAGGTTAAAATGTAGACCTGATTCTGTAAAGACCATTTTAAAAACCAGAAAAAAAAAAGAATAACATGCCAATATAGCTACTATTTTGTCAACTGTAGAATGCATCACGGTTTCTATTCCATGCTCAGTTTTCGTATTCATTATATGTATTTCAGAATAAGTAAAATAACTTTATGCAATGAAAAGTTTTAAAAATAAATATCCCAATGTCCATTAAGGTCATGAACTTTTATTGTAGTAGTATCTCATAATACCACACAGGAGATATCCATAACATGTTTTCTCACTGTATCCTCAAAATTAACATATTTTAGATAAATTACATTAAGCTATTTTAGCAATGCTTTTAATAGATTGGCAGTTTTTAGCAAACATACATATTGATAAATCAGCTGGATTCATGTGATATTTGAAGTTTTACATGTTTAGAGTTTATTCATGAAAGACTATTCACATGATTCAATAACTTATGAGGCAAAGTTAGTGAAACAAGGAATTATACTTGTCAGGAATAATTCAGATTATTTCCATAAAACTTAAATAGAAAATCGATAAAAATTTTAACCCTTTCAGGACGGGCGTCCCATATACGCATTCCCAAAGAACATCTCTTACAGTCGGGGGTCCCATCCATGCATCCGTAGGGATTGCATTCAGAGGACAGGTGATGCGTATACGCATTTTAAGCTGCAACGTTTTTCTGAAGGCCACTAGATGACATCCTATGTCCATTACTTTCGAAATGAACACAGTTTTAGGTTCCTGACCTAGAGTTTGATATATTCTACTTGTCTTTGGTATTTTATTCATCAGCTCTTGCGAAGGTGGGGGGAAGCGTAAACAGAGGTGAGCTCTTTAAATCGCTGCATGCTACAGAAAACATTCGCGTGTCTGATTTATATCCAGTTCCTTCTTTTTATTCTATTTTTTCCTTTACTATGTACAGTCTTTTATGTACAGGTTAGTATTTACTATGTACAAGTACTTTACTATGTACAGGTTAGTATTTACTATGTACAAGTACTTTACTATGTACAGGTTAGTATGCGGAGTATTGTTACGTTTTGCATTGCCTTCAGATATATTTCTGTTTCTTCTCTTTTTATTTCGAAAAGCCTCACCTCCAGTCTATTATGGCAGGAAGGCACTATTTATCATAGGAAGAATCCCTCATACGGTCAATGAACCATTTATTAATGTAGATGAGAGTGATGATTCATTTTCTAAAGAGTTAGAAATTGATACTTTTTCTGAGAGTTAGAAAGTGATACTTCTCTTCTCCGTGCTTCGAGATTTACCACACCCTGTCTTCATTTTAAGTGTTGTTACTTCTTACTGTAAATAGTCTTTATTGTGTTGTTTTATTAATTTTAAACTTTATTAATGGATTTTATCAATTAAAACTTTGGAATAATTTGAATAGCGCTTCCGAAAATTATTTTACTAGATAAGCAATTTTTTTAGTATATTTTCATGTAAAATAAAGAAAGAAATGTTATTAAGTGCTAATTTTAACATATATAAGAGTTCAAGTAATAATCTAAAATGATACCAAAAATTTCGATGCTAGAAGCGAAACTTTTTTTTTTTTTTTTTCTGATTTTTTTTATAAAATTAGGCTTAGCAAAGCAAAACCTCCGTCCTGTATGGTGACTGCCTTCGCCTTCGATTCCCTTCTGTAATGCACGAGCATCTTAAACAAAGGTGCGCCGTCGCGAAAAGGTTAATGAGAAATCTGGGTATGAAAAGGATTGGGGCACAAAGACATTCATGGGGTACAAACCACACAAGGAAAAGGCTAGTTTAAATGATTAGTTAAACAGGTGCATTAAAAGGGATTTTAGCCTTTGCTTTACGCTGTGAAAATATAAATAAAATAATTAATAAATAGAAATGCCGAAAGAAAATAAATTAACTACAAAAAAATTAAGTTTAAGATAACAATTAGCAAAAATAAGCAGAATATTATAAAATTCTTCCCGACTACAGCTTTGTCTCTTAGAACCATAACAGAAAAAGTTTTAATTAGAAATTTATTAATTTAATCCTAGATTTACACCCTTCACATTTGATCACTCTAAAGATAGCAACTTAAGGGCTATCAAATTAAAATGCATAGGCTTCAGGTTTCGATGAAAAATTAAAATTGAAGCTCATTTTCGCAACAATATAAGTATTATTAACATCACAACATTCATACAGTAAGAATAAAAGCATATGATCACAGTCGGAAATATTTAGAATACCTAGATCCACAAAATCACAGTTATTACCTATTGAAAGAAATAATTAGTCATCTACTTGTAAAGTTAATGCAGCTATTATATTTAATTTTGCCTCAGAAATTAATACCCATATTTATAATGCATTGGTAATGGACACTGATCAATTGTGGACATTCTGAACTAGATTAATATAAGAACTGAAGCTTTTTATGACAACAGGAGATAAGAGACAAGGTAACAGAATTGTTAACTGCAAAGAGCTTCAAAAGAATTTACATCTCCCTTTTCAAATCACAATGTTCACTACTAAATCAGTGTCTGCTACCTTTACTACTTTATAAAACTTTCAAAAAATTATAAATGAGACATGTATAAAGGTGTAGTAATTACTTAATTAATTTTCAGATTTCTTTGGATTTGTCACATAACAACAATGAACTGCCTCAGTGGATTTTTGAACATTTTCCAGAAAGTCTTGAAGCCCTTAATTTAGCAAATACAAGCCTAAAAGCAGTTCCTTTACTTGATACATGCAACCTGTTGTTTCTCAACCTGAGCAGAAATTCAATTAAAACTCTAGAACCTGATGATTTTGAGCAACTAAAAAATTTACAAGTTCTAGACTTCTCAAATAATTTTCTTTCCACAACATTCAGTAATGTATGGTCTAACTTGCAACAACTACGGTCACTGTATCTGCAAGCAAATCCAATCCAGAGTATATCTAACAGCAGCTTCAGTCATATGGAAAGACTACAGGAATTGTTTATAAGCCATTTAAATTTACAAGATATACAGAAAGATGCCTTTCAGCAATTAACTGCATTACGAAAACTGCAAATTGACACATCTTCAAAATTGAAAGATATCACTTTATCTCAAATACTAAGTAAAAATTATGGAATAGAAGAAATACATCTGAATGTTCAAGATCCAGACCTGGAAGGAATTTTTAGTGGGCACACTCCAAAGTCTTTGAAAGCAATAATACTGGAAGGGGAAAACCTGAAGCATGTGGCTGAATCAACATTTGCTGATATCCAAAGCCAAGACTTAATCCTCCACATCAGGAATACAAATATAACAAAATTATCAAACAATTTATTTAAGAATATGAAAGATGTAAAAAATTTCACGGGATCATTCTTAAACAACAAACTGCGAACAGTTGAAAGAATATTTACACAAGCAGAAAAAGAGGTAATCAATTTTATTTAAATTATTTCACAGAAATATTTAAATATTTTATTTTATGAATCATTAGAAATAGATGAATGCAAAAATCAGGCAAATAGCACATCTTTAAATGGGCACTGATTTTATGCAAAATTCTCAATTTTGTGTGTCAGATGATGAAGTGCTTTTTCTTCAAGGAACAAAAGTATTCTATATTAAGGGCAGGTCAAAAGCCAAATAATCAGTCGAAATGAACTGAAAATAGTGCTTTCTAACTGAAAATAGTGCTTTCTCTAAATAGTGCACTAACAGAAATCAAAAGGACAAATTAAAAACTAAGAGGTCAGAATTAAAACTGGATTGCAATTACTGTCATTAATTACAGCAGACAAAGTATTTGTCAATGTTGAAGGCTTCAATATAAGCTCATTAACCATCTGAAAATGTTTTTTGAATTATTTTATGACTTAAGATTCAAGTTTTTTTTCGTATATGCGCTCTTTATTTGATGGGTTATATATTTTTCAAAACCAATCTAAGGTGATTTTTGCCTGACTTTCATATCTGATTTGGGTGCATAGTTTCCTATACGTATTTATAATTTAATGCCAACCACTAGGTAGTTCAGAACTTCTCATAAACAGATTTTCTTTCTTTCAATGAATAAACAAATTAACTCTTCTCTGAAGAAATAGACAGTTCATTTTTCTCTCAAAATTGAGGTTAATAGGTCATTCAAAGAGCCAGAATGCCATGGACAACCAAAGGAAAGGAAACATTATTAGCCAGATATTAGTTTGGGCACTTTTGGGTATTCAGTTTACTTGCAGTTGTAATGATACTCGTTTTAACCAAAAAGAAAAATATTTTCTAACACGTTTAAAAAAATATTCTCAAACTATTCCATTTTACTGGTCTTTCTAACTTGAGTTTTATACCTAATCACTGAGGATTTGTACAAGTCGAAATTGCTTTGCAATCAAGGTCAGATATTAAAATTTCAGATGTGTCAGTTAAAATAAAACGATGAAAAATGATTGGAGATTGCTAAGACAATGAGAATCAGCATAATTAAAAAAGAATATTGAAAATTATGCTGATTCTGGTTTTTTTCACATAGTTTTGAAGGTTCCAAATTCAAATCTTCAAAATTAGTCCCACAAATGAATGAAAAATATGCTAATTCCTGTTGCCATAACATCTTCAATAATTTTAGAAGTTGTTAAGATATATGATAAATTAATAAGCCAAAGAGAATTCCATTATAAAGTAGATACATGTTGTGTTTTATATTTATAGGTGTACCTTAACATAAATGAAAAGTAGAAAACTTATTTACATCTAGCATATTTTTAGCAAAGCACTATTAATAACTACCAGCTATTTTTTATTATTAAAAACCTGTTTCACTGTTGAGATACATGTTGTGTTTTATATTTATAGGTACCTTAACATAAATGAAAAGTAGAAAACTTATTTACATCTAGCATATTTTTAGCTAAGCACTATTAATAACTATCAGCTATTTTTTATTATTAAAAACCTGTTTCACTGTTGGTCTTTATGGTAAATAAAAATCCCTCAATTATACTTAATTTTCAGGTTTGAAGCATTTATGCTTTACTGAATAAACAAATGTAACATACAACTATATCAGATAGTTAACAAGTTCATACTGCATTTATGCATATATTTAAAATAAATTCCACATTTATCTAAGTATGAATTATTTCAGTTTTTGTATAAAACATAGAAAGAAGGTACAATCAGAATGTATTTTCAATAGTCAACCTAGCAAGATTCTCCAATACAGTACAACCAAATTATGAAAACATCCTTTTGAATGCAATTCATGCAACTCTAAATAAATATATAATGTCAAGCAGCACTACTATAAAAAATATAAACGAACATGCAATATTATATATATTCTAATATGTGGAACTTTTATTTTATGTTTTAAGAGAAACTTATAAAATTTTAATATATATTTAAATTATAATCTTAGAAACATATGCATTATATGTAAGAGTACAACATGCAATTTTAGGAAGTCTGTGTAATAAGCAATTTTACCTTTGAACACATGACTATATTTTACAGCACAGCTAATCATTTACACGCTTTGTTTTTAGGATTCAAAAAAGTATCTGAAGCAACTGGAAATGTCTGGTAATCCTTTGAACTGCAACTGTGAATTTGCTTGGATATGGGAATGGCTAACAGAATATGAACATGAAAATGGATGTCAAGACATGTTTTGCGATGAGACTTATTTACGAAATCTGCGTGAAGCAAAATGCGTAAATATGAACAACAAATCAATTATTAATGTATTCAAAACTGATCTGGATTGCTTTTCAAATAGTGCAACAGGGATTTTTTTTAGTACATCATATCAACTCATTTTTAAATTAACAGTGGCATTTTTATATATAGGTAGACATATATAAATTTTACTAAAATACAGCATGCATGCTTAAGATTTCACAGCACATTATTTATTGCCTGGCAATTTCAGATTTGTATTTAACCCTTAGAGTTATTTCATCCATATGAAATCTGAAAATAAATGTAATCCATGCTTTCAAGTAATCAACTTCAAATTTGCTGTCATACTTAAAATACATATTCTATAATGCTTATTTTGATATGAAGCAACAATAATTAAAATAATAGATTGCCTCAATTAAAGGAAGCAGAAATCAGGATCTAATTTCCCAAATCAGTACTTTATAATGGTTTCACATTTTGATTCAGATCACAGTAGCTTGTAATTTTTAAGCCAAGAAATGGCTAAACAAGATTTTCAATTTGAAAAGAGAAACGAAAGAAAAATTTATTTTTCATTTTCTCAGTAATGTTTCAGACAGCAGATATAAAATATCATTTACACAGCATTCTCTGCATGTTCCCCATACATTAATCTACTGGTTTCTTGAATGATAGTACAAAAATATTAATGCATTTCATTTAAAGTACTCTTATGTTTCTGATTAATCAATTTAATATTTTAAATATGTCATGCGTACAGAAGATCCTTAGAAATTTCATAAATTTAACAAATAAACATCACAAGTTACATAAAAATCTAAGAGGGCAATATATTCTGCCCTAATTTTAATTATAAATTAAATAAAAATAGTAAAGAATTTTAAATTAAATGTTGAACTCTTTTTGGTGTTAAATAAAATACCTTCATATTTAAATTTTATGTTATTAAGATGTGTCATTAAACTAATAAATGAAAGTAGCCGAGTCTTAAATTTTAAATTCAATACCACATGTGCAGAACCTTCCTAAAACAAAATATGTGTTAAAAATATATGTAGAAGTGGATGGAAAGAATTCCGCACAGCGTAACTCTACAAAACCAGACTAATGGAACCATAGCTATTATCTGCATAATTACACTTCTCTTTTTCAGTAGACCAAACACATTTACTTTTATGCAAGTGAGGGAATTTTATTTTTCACTTATTCTGTCTTATTTCAACAATGGTTATACAGTTAAAAACAATACAATATTTCTTATTTCTTTAAAATAAAATGCAAAATATTTTCCTTGAAATTAAGAGATAAAATATCTTTTATTTATTTGAATACTTATGTTCAAGAACAGAAAACAATTTCTTCAAGAAGAAAATAAACTACATTCGAATACATGCATGCACACACAAACACGAACAAAAGAAAAGGGGGAAAGAAGGGGAAGAGTGAAAGATCATGACGTACAGTAATTGGCTCCAGCAGGTAAGAAAGAATCTACAGAGGCAAGTTCCTTAAGTGAAGAGAAAACAGAAATGATATTCCCCCACTGTTTAGAAATGAGGCACTTTATGGTATGGTTCGCAGAGTGAACAAAGAAACTTATATTTTGTATGCAATCACCTTTACTATTAGTGCTTATTAGCCATATATCTGCTAATTGATAAAGATTTGCTTGTTGATGATATACAGTTAAATGTTATTAAATTAAATGAGATGACATATGACATTAATGTCTTATAATAATTTTTGGTTATAAGCCTATAAATATGTCACACGCATTCATCTAAATGTAAGCTACTTAAAAATTATATGCCAACCCAATGATTTTTAACTGTACACTCCTGGGAGTCCATGCATTAATATTCAGGAGCTGTGATTTTTTTAAAATTAAAATTTGATTTGCTAATTCAACCATGAAAAATATAAAAACATCATGTAAGTTTCTGATTAAGAGTCTGTCAACATGCAAATAAGATGAAAGGAGCTCTCAAACCCTTTAAGAAACACTGTAATACAAATACACTGTTTTGTGATTTTGTATTTGAATCAAAGATTTAAAATGCATTCATAACTGAATAAGGAATTTAATTGGCCTTGAGAGAAAAAGTGACGTAGATAATAAAGCAGTTCTGGATAATTGAAATGCTACTGCAGTATTACAAGAAAAAAGTTATTTCATAAAAGACTGCTATGAATCAAAAATTTTGTGAACAAACCTTTTCACTTAAGACAGTTCGCTGTTCAAGATAGTGTTCAAATAGCTTACTCAAAGATGTTTGGGATTTTAGAACTGATGAATGGCGATACTCCTGAAAATAAATAAAAGACGGAATAAACGTAAGAAATACTAACAGAATTCAACATTTTGAAAACAGATACAATATTAATTTTTAAAAATTCATAACTGAACATCAGTTACTTTTGACTGTTAGAGTAGACAATTCTTAAAAACATGAAAATGAGACAAATTACTCGACATGCATAAGAAACACAAGTTCAATATAAATAGTTAATATGGCTCTTAGTCATATGAATGTGCATAAATAAAACATACCTGTTCATATTTTTCACATACTCTTTTCATAGTACTTAAAAACTGGTCATTGTTAAATGTTACAGATTCTGCATATTCTGAGCTACCAACAATTTTCACTTTACAATCTTCACATGCTCTCAAGCACATTAAAGCGAGCATAATGCAGGAAGGATACACCTAAGAGAAATTTTTACAGTTTAATTTTTTTTCACTCTCATGCAGATTAAAGCAAACATAATGCAAAAATCATACAACTTAAGAATTTTTTGAGAGTTTATTTATTTATATTAGTATTTTTACTTCATTATACATAATTTGCACATTTGTATACTTCATCAAATGTTCATTATCAAACATTAATGTTTCATGAAACAAAAAGCATATACAGAGCATCTCAAAGAGGAATATACTAAGACTGTTTCTGTGACAAGAAAACACAGTGATAGATTGACAGTACAACATCGATTGCTTGATGATTCACTCATCCAACAGATTACTACTACTTGTTGCATTTTTCAATCTCATTATTATTCGGAACATTACCTTATTTCATAAGCAATATTTTTAAATATTTTTATAGTGGAGATGAAAACATTTGCAATATAAAAATTTTATAAGCAAAAATTCATACTTATGGAAAGCACACATTCAAAATCTGATCCACAAAAATGAAGCAAAATTAGACAGACATAAACATAGGTAACTTTATTGAAAATGCACATTAAAAATAAAATCATTAAAATTAAAGTAAAATTAAAACTATGCGTTATGAATTAATTAGTTTATACATCATTTATTCAGATTTTTATATGAATACATGGATTGATATATAATTCATTAAAATACACATAAGAAATATTACACGAAATCTATTTACAATTTAATTACCATACTCTATTGCATATTATAATCCCTTAAAGTTACATTTGATTAAAAGGAAAAATTTTTTACATGTATATTATATATAAAATTTTGTCAGTTCATTACATTACCTTGCTCCTACTCTGAGCAGAATGACTTTCATAATTCAGGAGATCACAGATAACTAGTGTTTTCCCAGGCACTGGATGCAAATTGTGAAGTGCAGACAGTTCTAAAGCCTTACTAATCGAACTCTTATAGTGATTAAGAATGTGACTTGAAGCATTCTTTATTCTGTTTTTAAAAAAAAAAATCCTTTATTAAGCCTTAAGGAAACTTTAATAACAAGAAGTTAGGTATTTATAAAGTTACTTTAAATTCTCTTTACCATAAACTAAATCTAACACTAAATTATTACATAACCATATTACAAAATATGTATGTAAAAATATGAGTTTAGATATTTTCAAAATTTGATCAGATAAGTATCATTGTTCTTTTCTTTCTCTTACAGCTACCATCTTACAGTACCATCTCTCTTACAGTACCATCTTAAACTTACAAAGCATACATGACTTCAAACTTCAAATAATATTGCTAAAGAACATTATTTACCTTACATGATACAGTTCTAATGTACAACAATTATACAAATAAAAATTCTAAGAAATTAACAGAAGGCTAAAAGAATTACTATAATTTAAATGGTCAAATTAAATGCCTGCAGTGTTACAAGATTTCTCTCAAAAATTCAATGTAGGTAGTTCCCCCCCCCCATAAGAAAAGTCTTAAAATTAATTTCCTTTTGATAGTTGATGGATAGTATTTTATGTAATTTTATCATAAATATTGAGAACTATAATGGCATAATTGTAAAAATTTAATTTTTTTGCAATATTTTGGTATTTTTCTTCAATTATTTGGGATAAGTACTTTCTGAGAAGCTAATAGTAAACATATGAAAAAATTCAGAGTAAAAATTAGCATAAAACTTGATTGAAGTTTCATTGGAACTCTGTCTAGTTTTATTAAAGTAAAAACAAATACTTTCATAAAGTTAATTGGAAAAAGTAAAGCAACCTAAATTGCATAAATTAACACAACTAGTTTCAAAGAATTGAATAGAATCTTCTTCAGGTGCAAGAGAGAAATTGAATAATGATTTCTCCTTCAGAAGGTTTTATTAAAAATTCTAGTCCTGCAAATTTATGCAACTTATACTGATTTTTTTGCTTCACTATACCCAACATTTGATCTCTGGCATGTTATTTTAATTAATATTAAGTTGTTGAGCCATGCTTCTACTAATAAATTTCTCTGGGTACTTTTCTCTTAGAATGGCATCATTTAAGCCAAACATAAACTTTGGTGCAAAATGTTACAAGATGTTGCCAATCCTAACAATCTGCAAAGTTTTATGGGGAAAAATGAGCTTATAATAATAATGTATCACACTACATAATATATATAATTTTTATTATGCACAATCCTGAAGCTATGGACAATGATTGATTAATAGAATTCGAGTTTTTTTACATTTTCACTAAGAAAATTACACAAATTCAACACTGAGCCCATTAAACATTGCACAGTGTTTCATAACATGGTATTAATAGGCTACCATATTCGGCATCTTGGTGCACATTTCGCGAATGACTCTTTATTAACAAAGAGCAATCTATAAAATATATCCTATTAACTATAAAAACAATCTAATTTTTTTTTAATTATTACTGAAATACTTTATTCATGTATTTCTTTGTTCCTCTTTTGTTTCATCAACATTTTTTCTTCTTCTTTTTAATTTTTTTATATGTATTAGACTCACAAATTTCACTTTCAGACTCATAATCACGCTTTTATTATTTTTATGTATTTTTAATTATTTTTATAATTTTCATCATTATTTTTGTGTCCCAATTCTCGTCATCAATATGTCACACTCACTTCAAAACAGCAGATCCAAAGATGGGATTAGGTGAAATAGTTTTTTCCAAAGTCTGGAACAAGCATTTATGTTTGCAATCATCCACTAAACATTTATAGCACAATAAGGTTTCATAATTATTTAAAAAAATTACTGCTTGATCAGCCTTTAAGTGATACTGTAATTTGTACGTTGAATCTGATATCTGCTTCTGTTTTGAAGAGGATTACAGCTGTTATCTTTTGGTATTGTTAATACTTGATTTTGTAGTATTCTTGACTTGCATTTATGAGGACTTTGAATTCATTCAACAAATTAACAGACTGTTCTCAACCGGATTTGAATGCTTACATTTTTCAGTCATGACCCCCTTTTTATCACTGAGATTTTTTTGCGACCCCCAGGACCCCATAATATTTATGAAACTTTTGTGGGACCCCATAAGCATAATGCAAATCCTATACACGCATATGTGAAACTCAATTTTTTCACTTGTACTGTAATATACTACTGCAGTTTTAGGTCATTAATTTTAATTTCTAATTTTAAGACATAGAATAATGTGGAAATTTTAAATAAGCAACAGACAAAATGAGAGCATCACGTGCAAAGCAAGTAAAAATGAACGTTTCTATTATAAAAAGAATGCGTCAAAACATTTTCCTTCTTTCTTTGTCTGTATTGTTTAATCTTTATCTATTTTGGGATATGTTGTGTAAAAATATTTGGTAATTGTAAAATTATTATAATAAGTTAAAAGAATTATCAAAACTGCTAAATTTACTGGCACCCCCCCTGCAGGTCCCGTGACCCCCGTGGGGATCACGATCCACAGTTTAAGAAACGCTGCTTTAGAGCAATTTTTGAATTAGTTAAAAGATAAAACTGAAAGACCAATAAGTGGACAATGCAGCAATCCTCAACCATGGTACGCAAGAGAGAAATAGGTGGTAAGAAAGAAGCAAAGCATTTTTAACTACTAAATTCAAAAATGTCGAGCAGAAAAAGAACAATTGATAGAAATTTCCTGTTATCGAACTCTAAATGAAGAATTAAAAAATAACACACTTGTTGACTTTTCGTTGAACTGAAAAAAAGGAATTTAAAGGCATTTCAAATAAAGCTATTAAATTTTTATTGCTATTTTGTACAACCTATTTGTGCGAACCAGGATTTTCTTCAGTGTTATATTTGAAAAATAAAGGCAGAATAAAATTAAAAGTGGATCCTAATTCATGGTTAAAACTAAGTGAAATAAGACAAGCCATAAACAAATTGATCTCTTTTAAACAGGTCCAGATTTCACAACAAATTTTAGAATTAAAGCATTATAACTTAAATTTTAAAAATTAAAATGGTAACCAATTTTTAATCTAATATTTTTTATGTGTGCATATTTAATACAAATAGCCAATAGGTTGTGCAAATGACAAAATATTTTTTTAATATTTCTATTTAGAAACTGAAAAATAATCATTGTAAAATGTAGTGGTGGTACTAAAGATTTTCAGTTTTTGTTTAGGTGGTACACGTTAGTCAAAAGGTTGAGAACCGCTGCTGCACAGCAATTTTTGGATCGGTTAAAAGATAAAGTTGAATAACTTCAGTAAGTGGACAACAAGATTTTAAATTCTGTGCTAGAGGCCAAGAAGAAGGAGAATATAGAAATCAACCTTTATGAAACATACATTGAGAAGTTTATGAACTGCATTATGGTAATTAAAATATTTTAAGAAACCACCAAAGCTGTTACAGCTAAATACATGGCAGCAAATCATATCATTATGTTTGAAAATACAATAAAACTTAAAGTTCCGCTTTCTATTTAGCTTCCTCATTCAGGATACTTACATGAGTCATCAAGAAGCAACAATATAATATATGAAATAGAATTAAGGAATTTAAGATTGCATAATAATTTGCACATTTATTTACAATACATGAGTCTGACATTTTTTTCCAAAAGACAGAAACTGGACACTGTGATGATATAAATGAGACAAGGTTTAATCTTGACAAAGATGACAAAGAATTTTTTTATGGCCTAAACATATTAAGCATAACATTAGCCATTAGGAACAGAACCCTTATAAACACTTAAGCATACTTAGAAGTGAACTACATTTTGTTTAGACCGTATTAATAATATTATCTAAAAAAGTTTAATTATCCAGCATTTTGGTCTTTCTGCCCCTCAACATACATAACTTCTAATTATCCATGATGTAGTTTTGTGTTAAAATTTAGTATTGGTTTCAATGATTCCTTGCTTCACCTAGATTTCTTCTTTGGCAACATACTATTCCCAATAGAAAATATTCTTTCTATATATGTTGTAGTTCCTAGATTTTTGGAAAGAATAAACTTTAAAATATTGCAGAAATGTCTTGAAAATCTAGGTGTCATTGTTCATTTCTGAAAATTCCTACACCTATTTGTCAGATACAGGAATGTTCCCCTTAGGCCTTTACTCCTTGTATTCAAATGCCTCGTAAAGTTCTTTAATATAACAGATATCAATAGTAATCAATAGTGAACAAACTCCATCATTTTCCTCACATTAATGATACTGATATATCATTACAAGTTATGAACAATATTTAACTCTGAAAAGGTAGGTAAACCATATTTCTAACTTTTATTAAAAGTGGTTCCAAATTGCCATTTTTATCAAAACGTGTGGATGGCTGAAAAATATGAAGAATATGGTATGTATGATGAGCCTGTAATAGACAACTTTACCACATATGGTAAGATAGTTTATTATTACAGGTATTCATTTTTTAAGAATTATGTTTTTGCAATCATCATAAAATAAAAACCTTAAACTAAAACTGATTTTCCACAGGAAGAAATTACATAACACCATACCTCTGAAGCATTTTTGTTTTCCATTTTATCTTCCACTTTGGAGCAAATTTTGATACAAGATGTGAACCTTCTGCTTCATTCCGCTTGATTAATAATTCAAGTTCTACTACAGTTTTAAATGCTTCATAAAACTGAATAGGTAACTGACGACTGTTTACAACAGCATTCTAAAAGAAAATAAATAAGCATTAAAGTAGAATGGATTATTTTGCTTGTTCCGTATCAAAGGCTAATTTAATCTTTTTCATGCTTATTACTAATTGCAGATAGTAGTACAAGATCATAAACTATAAAGCTGTAACATCAAATATATTTTTACTCCTACTTGTATGCCTGAAGTTAAAGAGTTCATTCCTGTTTCTAGCTGAAAGTATTAAAACAGAATTTCACAATCGATTCTTTCTGGTTTAAATTTTGCCTTGTTATTTACATATTGAGTTCAGAAATAATTTCTGCACTGATAAAACTTGACATATGAACATGAATTCATTTTCAGAATGAAGAAACTGATGCTCAAAATGTTAAACATATTATGGGAACAATAACCATCATTAATTGCTAAAATTATCTTTACCGATTTTAAGGTTTAATGTTGCAGATTTTGCTGTTCCTTAATCTTCTAATTGGATATGGCTTATTATTTTTTGCACACTGTTAGAGCAATTTTATAAAAATTAAGCTTAAACTTTCAATCAAAAAGAGTTTGCAATTCTGGAGCTACTAAAGGATCTACAAAGTGAAAGCATGTTTCGATGTCCATCAAACAAAAAGTGGAATTGCTGTAAAAAATGGATAAAGCCATATCCGTCTCAAAATTATGCGAGGAGTATGACGTTGGAAAGTTAACTATATATGACATAAGCAAAAAGAAAAAGGAACTTTTTTTTGTAGATCCCGGCACCCCTTTCGCAATGAATAACAGAAAAATTGTTCATTATGCTAAAAGTGATGATTGAATGGGTCATAGAGCGTCGCAGCGAGGGTGTGCCATTGACGAGTCCAATGCTAATGGCATATTTGAAAGGTTGGTTAACTAAATTTAAAAATCGCCATGGTATAAGGCAATTAAAAATTTCACGTGAAAAAGCTTCAGCTGATACTGAAGCTGCTGAACTATTTGCAGATGAATTCATTGAACTCCTTACTTGTGAAAAATTATCTCCAGAACAAATTTACAACGCTGATGAAACTGGTCTTTTCTGGCAATTTATACCATGAAATACCTTGGCAACTTCTGCAAAAAAGGCTCCAAATGGTGTCAAAGATTCCAAAACAACATTAACTATTTTAGGGTGCATAAATGCTGCAGGAATGGACAAGTTCAAGCTTTTCGTAATCGGAAAACATACACAACCTTGAGCATTTAAAGGAGTAAGAATTTTCCCCGTTATATATTGTGCAAATAAGAGAGCATGGATGACACAAGCATTAATGAATGATTGGTTTGAAAATCATTTTATACCCGAGGCTCGACATCATTTGAATTTGGTTGGTTACATTTCATTTAAGTATTGGTAAGTTTTTACTGTTCCTAATGAGTGGGATTTTCTTAGTGTGTACATGGATATTAATTGCATTTTCCTTAACAACATTTGGGGGTAATTTAATAATGTATCGCATAAATATTCTTTTCTTTTAAAAATCCTAACTGGAAGTTAATCAAAATTATTTGGATTAGTATTAAATGTATGTAAAGTGCTAATTGTACTACAGAATGAGTCATGACTTTTTCTGTGTATACTGACAAGGGTAGATAAAGTGAACTTCAGGTTTTTCCAACTGATAATAAATCTGGAGCCTATAAAAATCTGTTAAGACTCATTTTTAGGTAAATATATTGCTTTCTATCACATATTTTCTAAACAATTTGTGAAGAAGGTTAAAATATTAAAAATTATAGTGGAGATTTGGGTAAAATGTCTTTTACTCTTTCTCTCTTTGGTTCCTTCTGTAAATAAAGGTATATTGTTAATGATATATGTTGTGTAAAGTACTTCACAAGATTTCATTCATAAGAAAATTAATTGGTAAATAAATTAATGCAAACTGACATTTGTTAAAAGAATATTTTAGTCTAAGAAATTAAAAAATAGTCTACATATGAAATTGTCAAATGAATTAAGTTGGAACTGGACTAAGTTAAAAAAAAATGTTTTAACATTATGCGTTAGACATAAATGCATATCAATAAAACAAACTTTCAAGAGATCAAATCGATGGTCATTCATCTCTTATTCAATACTGGAAATGTTTATCTTAGAAATTTCTTTTATACATGTAATGTCACATTTCGTCAATTTCACATGAAAGTCATTCATGATAGCAGAAATATCTGTACTTAGTGTAGGAAAAGGTAATAAAGAGAAAATTTGCATAGTCGAGACATTTAAAGTGATGCAGAATGCATTCAATTAGTATAAATTACTGAATTAAAAGGTACTGAGTGTTCAAAATAATAAAAAAGAATTTCGTATGAGTACATGAAATAATGAATATGGTTCTAAAATTATATATGAAAGTTGAGATTTCATTCTAAAAATTCGGAATCTATCAAACTAGCTTAATGAGAATCAAGATTCAGGACCCATTGAAGAGCTTAAAAACATGTATTCAGATATAAAGGGTATTAAGAATTAAAAAGAAAATACCAGAATATGCAGGAAATTATAAAGTTTGAAAATGCGAATGAAGTTAATAATGAAGTAAAATAGTAGGATAAGTTATGGTAAGAGTACTACAGAATGATAAATTTTAGAATTAAAATAGTACTATAAAATATGGACTAAGTAAGGGCTATTCAACGAATTGGATATGAATAACAGTTAAAGGTTGTAAAATAAAATGCTTAATTGAAATCTATCTCCGTGTTTAAGAAATGTAAACATGTTAATTTAGCTGAAATAGTAAAATCAAAAGCGCAATTACAATCAAAAATCATAAAACAAAGTTAAACATGTTGGAAACTAGAAAAAAAAACCAGTGTCAGAAAAGTATAAAAACTACATCTAAAATTAACTAAAGCTCATGCGTATGGTAGAAAAATGTAATAAACATTATCAAAATTAGAGAACTTTAAAAATTACGAAGGTATAAAAATGAAAGTTGTTACAAATTTAAGTCACGTGAAAATATAACAAATTAGTAACTTCTTAGTATGTTGAAAACTGAAAGTGATAAAAAATAGAAAAGGAGTTAAAATTTACATCTAGAATTAAATAAGTCAGGTATATGGTAGGAAAATGTAATAAGCAAGTTCAAAATTAGAGTACTTTAAAAATTACAAAGGTTTAAATATATGAAACAAGTTAAAAAATTACATCTAAAATTAAATAAAATTCATATATATGGTCAGAAATTATACGAACTATAATAAAATTAAAAGTATATTTGACATTAGAGGTTAAAACGTATGAAAGTAGCTATAAATTAAAGTCATGTGAAAATATAACAAATTAGTTAAAATTCAGAGTATGTTGGAAACTAAAAACGTTAAAATATAGAAAAGAAGTTAAAATTTACACCTAAAGTTAAATAAATATCAGGTATATGATATGAAAATATAGGAATTATGTTAAAATTAGGACTGTACTGGAAATTATGAAGATTAAAATCTATGAGAGAAATCAAGTAAAAGTCATGTATATAGTGTGAAAATATAAATTGGTTAAAAATTAGAGCATATTAAATATAATGAAGGTTAAAATGTACAAAACAAGCTAGAAATGTTGCATCTAAAATTAAATACAGGTCATCTATATGATCACAAAATATATGAAATAAGTTAAAATACAGAATATGTTGAAGATCACTAACATTAAAAAGAATGAAAAAAAGTTAAAAATTACATCTAACATTGAATGATATAAAACGTAAAAACTCGTGTCTTAGTAATTACACTCATAAAATATAACAAATAAATTAAAAGTATGACTAAAAAGTATGAAAAAGCTCTGGGTAAAATGAATTTAAAAATAAAAATGTAATTATTAATAAAATGTAATTAAGATTACAGAAAGTATATTTGATATTATGAAGAGAAGATTTAAATAAGGCAAAATTCTAAGTGTATAGGATCACTCAATCATTAAATTTGAAAATAATCGTCGTTAAGGGTACCTAGGACATAATCATCATATACGTAGTAAAACAGATGGAATAATACGAAGAAAAAACACAAAGGCTAAAAATTTATTAACGAAGGAAATCACCTCCGGTAAATCAATAAAATATAATTTCTTATGAAATTGTGATGATATGTAGCAGTTTTGTAGATATTCAGTCATAGGATAAATACAATTAAGAAAATAGTTATCTTCCAAAGAGGTTATACTGTGAAGGAAACATTTTATTGAATAGTAATTTCTGGTTAAAGAAATAACTGTATCAGTCACTATACACGTATTTGATATATGTTTTTAAGAACTCAATAATAAGTAAGTGATTTCATGGATATAACTGTCTAAATCAACAAATTAAGAAATAGTACTCAAATATTATTTGTATTTTAATAAACTTGTAATTTGGTTTAAAATTTATTGTCTGTATGAAACCCATTATATGTAACAGTATTGTAGATATTCAGTCATAGAATAAATACAAGTAAGAACATAATTATCTTCCAAAAAGGTTATACTGTGAAGGAAACATTTTATTATATACTAATATCTGTTTAAGGAAAATAACTGTACCAGTCACTTAAAACACCCACTTAATATATGTCTTTAAGAACTCAATATAAATAAGAAAGTGTACACATTATCATATAACTACTAAATGCCTAAATCACCAAATTAAAAAAGAAAAAACTAAGCACACGTCTTTTTTCTGTGACGTAGCAACTACCCTACTCGATAAGGCTTCCTGTTCCCATTTTCAGATAAGCCTCCCTTCCACGGCTGACCATTCCTTCTCGGGAGCTCCCTCTTAGCTCCCGCTCCTGAGCCAGAACTGTCATTTTCCTCTACTTATGCTGTACCATTTACTAATATACAAATCTCGCTAAAACTACAGGCATGCATGCACGTTACAACTGAAAGAGCTGTGACAGTTTGTTATGCCTACTAGTCCCTGTTTTAGTGATGTCACTCGCAGCAGAAAGGAGGCCTTGTTATTCCAGTGGTGACGGTCCAATCCATTTTTCCATTTTGAAAATCTAGGTTTGTTTTATTATTTTTTCACAAATATTTAAATGCACAATATATTACGAGTTCTTCAAAAGCAAACGACGATATTCTCAAATTGCAAAGAAAAGAAGGAATACAAAGCAACAAGACAAAATATGTGCTGTTAGAGAGATCAAATTGATAAAAAAATTCTAATTGAAAATAGAGCAATATGAGCCCGGAAATGGTGGTGACAAAGTGTAGACACGCTAATAAATTGATCAACTCTAAAAGAATTAATGAGAAACTATTATCTTTTTGTAGGAACGTATTTCCTATTAAATACAACATCCACTTCTATTACTCCCTTTAAAAACCTCATTTATGACAATTTTGTTATGTCTATGGTCAAAAGAATATTTGTGAAAATAAAAACGGTTTAATTTGCTGAAGGTCTATGAGCGGCTATTGACCTTGGACAAACCTCAGATTGCATAAATTTACGATTGTTAATAGAAAGAGTGTAAACAGGATGCTGCGGTACTTAATTTTTGAATTTAATAATTAAAAATACTTTGTTTCTTTGCATACCACCAATTTCTCTCTCACGTACCACCAGTGATGCGCATACTACCAACTAAAAATCACTGTTCTAGATAATTTCTTGGTTCATTGGCAGGATAAAGCTTGTTACATTAAGTGGAAAAAACATAACAAAAATAAATGTTTTCCAAATTTAAATCGTCAGACTGTTTTCCCATTACATATTTTTTTTTAATCTTGCATGCTTAAATTTCTGATTTAAATTTAGATCTTCAAAAGTTCTGTTATTTTGATATTACTGTCTAATTGGGTGCTACGTAAAACATAATTTTGTAGTATAATATTATGAGCTTTCATTATGAAATGGAAGTATAACCATTCGTTCTACTGCACTTTCGTAAATGTCATACATACATTGTCAAATAAATTACCATTCCATTACAGTTCAAATAAAATGCAAAAGAAGCTTAGTTAAAAATTTATACTTATATAACAATTCAAAAGAGATACATACATATCAATTCAAAAGAGAAGAAACACCCACTCCCCAATTCCTATTGATAATTTCAAAGCAATGTTTTTTTTTTTCAAATATTAAGGCTCACCTTATTTTCCAAATGCTTTAGTACTTTCTCGTGGTGTTTCGGAGAAATCCCAGATAAAATCAGGTTCCTTATGTTACGAAGCATAGCCATGTAAGGTAGTTTTGAATTATCTGAAAGAATTGTAACCCATATAATAGAATGTTTCATGTGAGAAATATATCAATTTTCATATACAATATGCAAAAGAAACATATTTTTGAACCAAATATTTTTATATGCTCCATTGATGTTGAAGTTTATGGAATTATACTCTACTTCATATAGCATCTCATCACCATTTTTTCAAACAATGAAAACAAATGCTTTACAAAAAGGAAAAAAAAAAAAAAAACTTGCCCGTAAGTGAGTGAGTGAGTGATTATGGCGCAAAAACCAAAAATGATTATACCGCGCCAAACACAAGATGGGATGATTACAATTGATGACATTAAAATTCAATAAATAAAAACAAGTAGACAAATGTATCAAATCCAGAGGATGAAGTCATATAAACACAAGTTAAAAGCACACATTAAAATTCAAGACACAGTCTTCAAAACAAATTACATTTGGTAATAAAAGCCAGTCTCTTTTAAATAATAAAATAAATTACAATTGACCTCTCTTCCGATTAAACAGTCCAGAGGTAAGTCACAGCCATTAAAACATTTCTGACGAAGATTATTAAAAATATGGACACTCAATTAAAATATGACGGACAGATAGACAAACATTACAATTTGAACAAACAGGCTCATTCTCAGCTGTCGCATTTGCTTACTAGAACTTTACTTCCACGGACGCCCTCTGGCGAAAGAGACTAAAAGTAGTCAGTTGAACGGCTGACGCGTCTAACAGATGTATAACGATAGACCGTCTCCATATAAATTATGCTTGTAATCATTATAACTTGTAAATATTTTGTAGATATCTTTCATACGAATTAAAATTTCTTAAAAAGTTTATAGCGTGTTTCGAAGTAAATCGAAGTTCATCATAGAGACAGATACCGACAAGAAGGAAAGAAGGCAGTTCAGGGCAGCCCTATTTAGAAGGTAAGTGAACTTTCACTTATCTATTTTAATGATCAAAAAATTTTAATAGTAGACTAGTTGATAAAATTTTTTAACATGGCGCCCGTACAAGGGACCCTGTAAAAGGTAAGCCTGCTTTTTACCTTAACTATTGAAACTGTCTAAATTGATATCATTATATACGATTAATACATTTTTTGGCATCCCGTGCCGCGAATGAATTAGTGGATTGCTGATAGTTTGTTGAATTGTTGAATATTAAATAATGACGGAATTCATCGATACATTGGAAAAGGAAACGCGGCCACATAAGGGCTGCCGTTACAAAATTAATTGGCCGAATCGAAACTGAATTACCAAAAACAGAAGTGAATGCAGAGGAAACTAGAAATTTCCTTTAGAACTCTTAAATGAAAAATCGAACGAGTTAAAACAAATAGAATGCCGATATAGAAAAATTAATAAACATAAAGGATCTAGACCAGGAATTAAACGTGTTGACGAATATCGTGAAGAATAACTACATTTAAATACAAAGCTAACAAAAAATTGAAAGAAATTAATATAGAACAACCAAAATTAATTGTTACGAAACACTGAACAGTTAAGTGAAAGTATTATAGAAAACGTTAAAATCGAAAGTCATAATGTGAAGCTTCCTAAACTTACGATTCCGAAGTTTTATGGCAAGAGCTGCGAATGGCTGACATTTTGGAACACTTTTTCAATCACCATACACCAAAATAAAACGCTTGACGCTATAAGCAAATTTAATTATTTGAAATCCTTTTGGGAGGCACTGCTTATAACACCATTGACGGTTTCGATTTAACCGAAGAAATTACGAAACTTCAGTTAAACTCCTCACAGAAAGATTTGGAAATAAAGATGTACTGATCAACGCCCATATAGATAAATTACTGAAAATAAGACCTCTAAAAGATTGTAATGACATTCAAAATTTCCGTAAGTTATTCAATTATATACAGAAACATATTCGATGTCTTGAATCATTAAATATGACCTCAGAAACATATGGAGCTTTATTAACACCTATTTTGCTTAAAACATTGCCCGCAGATTTGGTTTTGGAGTATAATAAAACAGTTCGGAAATCAAATTACGATTTGAGTCACCTAGTGGAATTTCTTTCTGAGCAATTAGTTGCGCGGGAACGTACATTCCAGACGGTCCAGCCAAAGGCGGCGCCGCAAAAGCATAACAAACTGAGTGAACCCAGACCTATTGCGAAACACACAGCTTCGGAGTTAACGAACTCAAGTTTGCGGGGGGGACAAACACCATGTGTTTCTGCGACTCTTCTGATCACGAGTCTATAACGTGTAAACAAGCATCTTTATGGTCTACTGAGAAAAAAAGGGAGAAATGCAAAGCGAAAGGGATCTGTTTTCGCTGTTTACGCCATCCGCCCATGGCATCTTAGTTTTATTTGCACTTCTAGAATAAGGTGTGAATTATGTAAACAACGACACTGCCACTATAATGTGTTTTAAAACGAAAACGGAGAAATTAAGGAAGAACAAATTGAAAATAAGGCCTTAACGAATAATTCATCCTATGAAAGTGTAATCTTGCAAACTTTAATTGCCAATGTTTACGGAGATGGTGAAAGCAATTTTACACGAATAATTCTGGATACCGGAAGTAGCAGATCATATATCAGCACATTTCTTGCGGAGAAATTAAAACTAAATCTTTAGGTCAGGAAAGTGTGACTCATGGGCTTTTTGGAGGGATAGAAAAAGGGAAAATCACACAAGTATCTGATTAAGTTAAATAATCCAGAAACAGATTCACATGCGAAATGGAAGTTTGAGCCAAAAAACCATATGCTCACATATTCCAAAATTGGGGATAGGGAATGCTTAAAGAAACTAAGAGGTTACACAAATTTTTCCCAGTGATGTAACAATGAGAATCTTGTTTATTTGAAAAACACCCTACGAAATACACATGCTTGTAGGAGCAGATTATGCCGGAACTCTTTACGGGGAAATAATACACGTAACGGAGATTTAGTAGCGATGAATACACACCTTGGTTGGACAATATTAGGGAGAACAAAGGTAAAGGGAAAGAATTTTAATGAAAGTCTTTTATCACTACACATTAGTGACAGAAAAATTGTGACTTGTGGTCTCTTGATTCTATCGGAATAACTGAACCAGCTCTTTCGCAAACAAACAAGAAATAGAAAGGCGACAGAAAATTATTTCATCCGTACTTTAGAAAGAGATGACACTGGAAGGTATCAGGTATCACTTGCCATGGCTTCAAATTCATCCCTGAGTTGCCAGATAATAGAATCTTTGAAGAAAAGCGTCTGAAGACTTGAGTGAGAACCCTTCAGACTAAGAATTACTTAGAAACCTACGAAACTGTTTTAAAGGATGGGCAGAAGAAGGAATAATTGAACCTGTCGAAATTTCGGAGGCAGAAAAGATCAATATCTGCCACATAGAGCAGTGTTTCGGGAGAATTCGACTACCGAAATTCGACCAGTATTCGACGCATCTGCAGAGGAGAAAAATTCAGTATCTCTGAGCGACTGCCTGGAAAAGAATCCTAATTATCTTGAATTAATTCCAAAAATTTTGACAACATTTCGAGAGGGAAAGTATGGGTTAATTTCGGACATAAAAAGAGCATTTCTGCAGATAGGTGTGAACCCAGCGGATAGAGATTTTCTCCGCTTCCTATGGTGGGAGAAAAGGACAGTATGAAAAAACTGACTATATATCGGCATCCGAAGGGTTGTATTCGGCGTAAACGCCAGCCCTTTTTACTTACTCGCTGCCACGATTAACTACCATTTGGAAAATGTACCAAAACAACATCAGGAAATAGCTTCAAAGTTTAAAGAAAGCCATGTATGTGGATAACTGCGTAGCGATCGTGGAATAAGTTGAAGAATTGAACTCATTTATCAAAGGGATCTAGAGAACTAATCGCTACTGCAAAATCTGACCTAAGAGGTTGGAAACATAATAGACTTAAAAAATGAAACTTCAATTCTAAACCTTTCTGATAAAGATTATGAGATGTTGTGTCAGTATCGGGATTGAAATGGGACCTGTTTGACGATACTTTGTACTGCCATGTAAAATATGAAGAAAATCCTGTATTGAGCAAAAGATTTGTTCTTTCCGAATTGAGTAAAATCTTTGACCCAATTGGGTTTAATAGTCTAGTTACTCTCATGCCTAAAACTGATTCTGCAAGAGTGCTGGAAACAGAAAATTAACTGGGATACTAATCTGCCGAATGATCTAGCAAAGAAATTTTTCACATGGTCATCTCAGTTAAAATATTTGAAAGACCTCAAAATTCCTAGATTACTTCCCAAAATAGACGAAAGTACCACTCTGCATGTATTTTCGACGCAGCAAGGACGCGTATGCGACCTGCATTTTCCTTAGACACAGGGTGAGAGTGGAGTCACTTGTCAATTGAGATACAATCTAAAGCGAGAGTTGCTCCGCTAAAAGCACTCACATACCTCGACTAGATAATACTCGCTTGCCTATTGGAGCCAGGCTCTCTCATACAATAAGAGAAGACTTGAAACTAAAAGAGGTTCCAGTTTTTTTGGACGGACCAACTGCTCCTTTTGGAAAAAAACAGAAAAAATTGGTCCACTTTTATAGCCAATCGAGTAAATGAGATTCGAAAACTGAGTAACTCAGATCATTCACATCCGGAAAGTTTCCTTTCCTTTGCCATCACCGATGCTCTGCAAAAGAATTGAGGAATCCGAATGGTGGAAAGGACCAGATTGGATTTATCGACCTCAAGAGCCTATTGCAGATGGAGAACATCCTGACTTCGATATAGTAAATGGAGAGAGAAAACGAACTGTGGTTTCAGCCACAATAACACGAATACAGATAAATTTAAACTTTTTGACAATATTTCAAAATTCGAAAAGATCATAAAGGTCTATCTTGGATCTTTAGATTCGTTAAAAATGCTACAACACCACCATCTGAAAGAACTCATGGGAGAATTTCATCGAAGAACTAAAAGGAGATGAAACAGTGGGTTTTCCGACTCATCCAACAAGAATCTTTCGAAGG